TATATATATATATATATATATATATATATATATATATTGTGTGTGTGTGTGTGTGTGTGTGTGTGTATTCAACATGTAGTGCTCTAGTTTACCTACTTTTCTTGCTTACCAACTTAAAGTTGTATATACACATAAATACACGCATATTTACTTTTTACACAGGAAATTTGTCAGAGTAAAATATGAATGTTAAAATGTACAGTTGCATTTAACAATCAACCTTTTTTTTAGACAGTTATGATGCGACTTGGAATTCTTTAAACTGTACTTTGTATTTGATAAGGCGTGGAACACCCACATGCGATTGTTAGCGCATGACGTCACACATGATCGGCGGGCAGTTCATGGGAAGCAACGTCAGCAAATCTCTTAGAAATTTAGCTTATATGAATGAACTTGTATTTAAAAATTAGGAGTTCCAACAAGTTGAGATATACAGCGTTAGAAGGAGTGGCTGTTAATTTCAAATAGTTTATTTTTTATTCTCCTTTAGTAAATAAAGTTTGGAATTTCCCTGATAAAATTTAAAATAAGACACAAACTTGTCGCTAGAGGGCGAAACTTATTAATTGTGTTAAACATAGAAAATTGCAAGGGGTTTAGAGGAAGAAGAGAAGTGATTGTTGCTCAATTATTGGTTATAAAGTCACTTACCACACCGTCTACATTATTTTTAAGATTTTCCAACTACAAAACATTTACAGAATTCAATATTTCTTAGTTCCAAGAAACACATGCCTAAAGTAACTTAAGGCGGTAGAGCTAAACGTTTGAATTATAGTTTTAAATTATTAAAGTACATTCCATTGTGAGTAACCGACTCTGCCCGATACCATGTTGAAATACTGACGTCAAAATGAATACAATTTTAAATGTTTGAAACCTAAGCCTTCCAAAAGAAAATATGCACATTAATTATTAATTTCCTACGGAAAAAAAAAAAAGAACATTAGTATTGTTAGGTGAAATATGTACTTGTAAAATACGTTTGGTGGCTAGGTGTACCCTAGTGGTTAACGTGTCAGGCCAAGAACCAAAATTAAAACCTACCATCCCGCTCAAAACGCTGCGCAGTTTCAGCTGTGGGGGAGTTATAAATGTGACAGTCAATCCTGTTATTCGATCATGAGTAGACGCATATTTAGCGGCGGGTATTGCTGACTGGTTGGTCTCCTTCTGTTCAGAAGATTTTCATTAAAGATGACTATGCCTGAACCATAGGAGTTTCTGACCTGGCCGTTCAGCCCGTCTTGCATAAGGTGCCGTTAACGTCTAAAAAAGTGGAGTGTTAGTTAGAAGAACATAGGACCCACATGAAGACGTTGTTGATTTGTTTTGTATTGTTTATTGTTAAGCGCAAAGCTACACAGTGGGTTATCTGTGCCGTACCCACAACGGGTACCCAAACTTATAAATCTTAAGCCTCACCGCTAAGCTAGTGTATGTGGGGTGGGGGTGGGTGAAGATTGTTTGGTTTGTTTTGAATTTCGTGCAAAGCTATACGAGAGCTATCAGCGCTAGCCGTCCCTAATTTAGCAGTGTAAGACTAGAGGGAAGGCAGCTAGTCATCACCACCCACCGCCAACTCTTGGGCTACTCTTTTACCAATGAATAGTGGGATTAGCCGTTACATTATAACGTCCCCACGGCTGAAAGGACGAGCATGTTGGTGTGACAGGGATTCAAACCCGCGACCCTCAGATTGCGAGTCGAGCGCCCTAACCACCTGGCCATGTCGGGCCTGGGGGTGAATAAGTTGTGTTGGTGAAGTAGTCCACAGTACAGTGAAGCTACTTACAATTATACCTTTAACTTTTACACTTAACGGGATAATTATAGAGAGCAGGGCTCAGAAGTTCACTCAATGAAACACATATGTAATATGACAAAAATACACAAATGACGCAACAAAAGCGCTTCTATTCCTTCAACCAAGCAAACACAACGAAATGTCCTTTTTATTCTCACTATAAAGTTTGTCTACAAACTTAAAAAGTGCAACTTGCACGAGCGTGAACAAGTCAAAAGTTTCCAAAGGAATAAATTACAAAATACTGGTTTACTTTACAGTCGTAAAGGCTGGATTATTAACATAGTCTATAAATAATGCAGGAATTTTAAAAGAACGTCATGTATATGTTAGTCTGAAATGGATAAAACAAAATCTACATACCTGCAATTCGAGGATAAATTCTCTTTTTTTATTCTTACAATAGTATTTTGCAAATATATGAACATTATGGGGGTTGGGAAGATAACTTTAGGAAATATGTTTTACTTATCACACGGAACTGTACGTTGCTCGTTGTTTATTTGATTTATATCTTTTTTCGTTTCACCGGGAGCAAGTGTTTTCCCGAACGGCTGTAGACGGCTACGGATGCCTGTATATACGGCTACGAACGGCTGTAGACGGCTACGCGGTAACCTTAAGGGTGTTGTGCTTGAGTATCCATATCCCATAGCTACCGGACCGGATTATATCGGAGATGCTTGTTTCAAGTTAAGCAAAAAGCTAGACAATGGGCTATCTGTGCTCTGCCCTCCACGGGAATCGAAACCTGGTTTCTATCGTTGCAAGTCCGCAGACATACCGTTGTGCCACTGGGGGGTGGTGGTGGTGGGGGGGCAATATATCGGAGAACTAACGTGGTCTTCATCCACGACATTCAAGAACTAACCAACATTCAAGAAGGGTGGTAGAGGTCCAGGGTGTACCTAATCCTCCTAGGTCACTTAACCAAAAGAACGATCAGAGATTTTCGTTTCCGATTTTTGGGTATTATTTTCACTTTATTTGTGAGACTTCTATTTAATAAACTGTGTATGCTTATCGCTATGTGGGTCCTACTTTTTTCCACATACCTCTCTTACTAGGGTACATTTCATCATCCCTAGACTGGTACTCTTTATTTGGTTATTCTATATTTCGAAGCTTTATAATTTTCACCTAGTTGTCTGGAGCACACATACATAAATATACACTAAAAATATGTTTTAAATATAACATTATTAATAGTTTTAGTGGATAAAATTACCGTTGTTACTTTTTCCCAACACGATTACTAGTGTTGATGTTTTGCATTTAAAAAATGCTGGTGAACAATATAAAAACGTTTAAAACACCAGACAGGTGAAAAAAATAACAATAAACGTAACATACTACACACGACACGCGCACAGCGTTATGGTGGTTTTAAATTCCGGCGTTAGACCCTCCAGTGTCACAAGCTGAAACGGGTTATGTAAAGTAAAAATATTAAAATATAAGTCACGATTTTTATGTGAATTATGACATATAATTTGGTTATGAGGTCACATCAAACTATGTGTAAAGACATTTTTCTTTACGTAATTACAATTATAGAAATGGTATATTTTTAATGCTACAAATACTTCTGAACGGTAAACACGTATAAATTAAAACTAGGTAAAACAACAATCTCTCCACTCACTTGTTATTTTCCTGCTGCCACCTAGTGATAAGAACTAGAAGTGCTTGTTATCAGCTGCAAAACGCTTCTCTTGAAGTCTCAAGGGTGAAAATGACGAGACGATACAGTAGTGAACATATTAATAAACTCACTATACGAATCAGACTGTAAGATTGATGTCACGGAAGTTACGTCACCTTTTCCTGTGACGTGCTTGTGGTCGAGACTCGAGAAGGAGAATACCAAATACAGTCAGAATTGGTGGACTAACCGGGATTTGTTTATTTGTGAAAATATTTCATCAACAGCTAAGTAAACAGCTAGCAGCATGAATCATTTTAGAATGTTTTTTAGGATATAAAACTTTAGAATTCACGTTTATATAACTATTGTGATTATTGCTAACGCGTGTTTCCCAACTGCTTCATTTTGTTATTCTAGTTAGAAAACAAGAGGGAATCCTCGATAGCCGCGGCACTTGAAATTCTTTTAGGCGAGATTAGAGTAAATTAATCTACGAGACGTTTGTTTCCTTTTTTATTAGCTATATTTTTGTGCACCAGAAATACCAAGCGTGGGGCACGTATATACCCGATTCGATTTTATTACTCATCCGGATCTCTACCAACCTAACCTCAAATTGAAATTATTTTAGGCAGAATTAGAATAGATTAATCTATGAGACCTTGGGCGTGATCAAACACATCAATCGAAAGGGTTTGATCTAATGAGTCGAAAATTGTAATTGGATCTCAAATCGGTCAAGAGATGACGGAGCTATGAGCTAAAAGTTTGTACTTGAAAAACAAAACATAGAGCCGTTCTATGAGCCGTTATGCCGCGGCTGAAAACAAACCATACTATATTCAACACCTTGACATTTAGCGATTAGCCTATACATTAGTTTTATCATTACCATCTACGAAAATCTTATAATAACGCTTCGATATATATGCCAAAATATTAGTAAGGCAAGAGGTAGATGAGAAGATAGACGCTGGTAGATATATTTTATGTTATTTCTGAAAGTTGTGATATTGATATTTCGGTTTGAACAATGATACCATACAATTTTCAGCTTGAAATTGTTCTATTTCGTCTTCATTATAATTTGTTAGTTTCTTGTTAAGCACAAACCTGCACAATAGATCATTTGTGCTCTGCCCACCGCAGGTATCGAAAGTTGAATTTTAGCGTTGTAAGCCGTGAGATTTATCACTGATCCACCGGGGGGCTCCTTCATTAAAATGCCAGGTGTTCTTGTGAATTTTTCCTACTTTGTATTTTTTTTTTTTTTTTAGTGGGCAAAGGTTGACTTTCTTTAGCTTTATTAGTCAGCTTGGGATTGTACAAAAATTCACTTGTGTCCATCTTTGTATAAATAAGAGAACACTGTTTCTGGAAAAAGCCCGTTATGGGAGTCAAGATCATTTTTTAATCTGACGAAGTTTTAATGAACATGAACAACACAGAGCAATAAACGAGAAATTTTTCTTTCTTTTTTACCAGCTTATTTATTTTATTACCATAATTAGTTGTTCACTTTTTCAACAACATTGTAACACCAAATTGTTAAACAAATTAACAGTGTGTTAATGATCGTTGTATTTCTGGAGTGATATTGTTGTATCACATGGTTTTGCCCCCCAGTGGCACAGCGGTATATCTACGGACATACAACGCTATAAACCTGGTTTCGATACCCGTGGTGGGCAGAGCATAGATAGTCCATTGTGTAGTTTTGTGATTAATTACAAACAAACAAATTCTATGTCTTTTTTGTCTTTTTTTTTTTTTACATTTACCAAAAAAAAAAAAAATTTCCTTTAGCGAGAAGGAAATTATCGTAACGCGATGGGCGTGTCCTTTGTGTCTAGAACTATCTCCAAAGTTTACGAAGCGGTTTGAACCATATATAAAAAGTGAGTTACACTATAGAGTTAGTTAGACAGTCAATTTAGTGAATTCCATATGCAGTATTTAGTCAGTTTGTTTGTTACTGGTTGTCAGCTAATTAGACCAATGCCATGAATATTGAGATTGTGTTTCAGCAAAGAAAGAGAAATACGAAATTAGCATTGAAATGGAATTTTTTAGACGCAGTTTGTTTGTGAAATTAAGCTTGTTAGTGAATGTAAACTTGGAACTTAAAAAAAATAAAATATTTCTCTTATCGTTAAGTGGATTTCACTTTCCATTATTGTTTTTTTTTTATCGGATACGAAAAGAACCGTCCCCGGTGGAATAGAGGTAAATCTACGAACGTACGACGCTAAAATCTGTGGTTCGATTCCAGAAGTGGACGGAGAAGATAGCCCAATGTGGCCTTGCTCTAAAACAAACAAACATACGTGTTCGAAATTGAAAATTTAGTAGAAATGGAAAGAATATCAAGAAGAGGGAGGCTTGTTTGTTTTTTGAATTTCGCGCAAAGCTACACGAGGGCTATCTGCGCTATCCGTCCCTAATTTAGCAGTGTAAGACTAGAGGGAAGGCAGCTAGTCATCACCACCCACCGCCAACTCTTGGGCTACTCTTTTATCAACGAATAGTGGGATTGACCGTCACATTATAACGCCCCCACGGCTGAAAGGGCGAGCATGTTTGGTGGGACGGGGATTCGAACCCGCGACCCGCAGATTGCGAGTCGAGCGCCTTATCCACCTGGCCATGCCGGGCCTATAAGAGGGAGGCAAAAAAATTGGAAGAAAGAAACTTAAAATTAAATGACGATCATGAAGGTAGAGATAAAAATTATAAGAAACAGACATAAATTTAAGAGAGGGGTCATAAGAACGAGACATATAATTTATAGAATAATCCAGAAATCAGTTTGATCACAGAAAAAATCGGGCACACCATAGCAAATGTACAATATGATTACGATAACAAAAATTAAAGAAGTACAAAACAACAAAGTAAAAAAGAAAGGAAGTACGAAAGTATATAAATGAAGTACAGATTAGTTATAACAAAAAAAATCAAAGAAGTAAAAAAACGAAGAACAAAACCACATCAATGAGAAATACAAAAGGACATCAATGGCAGGATAAAATATTTAGAAACTGAACAAAACACACACCTCTCTCTACAGCTGCTCAATAATTACACCTTCCGACATCAATAACTGTTTCTTATGGAATAGGAGCGTCTGTCTCATCTACACTTCTTACTGTTACTGCTGTACCGAACTGAGATATAACATTACTTTGTCAAGTTACAGAACAGTTGTTTGTGTGCTTGTTATTAAGTGCAAAGCTACACATTGAGCTATCTGTGCTGTGCCCACCACGGGCATCAAAATCTCGTTTTTGGCGTTATAAGCCTTCATGTTTACCGCTGAGCCAAAGCATAGCAGGCGAATTCAATAACATTGCTCAATCAAACAAACCAACAGACTATGATTGAAGGATACATATGAGACATACCAGACACAGTTTGAAAGTATTTACAAAGTGAATGGGTGGAATAATTAGCATCAAACTGTTCTTCATTTAAAAATGGCAAACTTTATCAAGTATTAGGCCATAGTATGCACGTTATCTAGCAGAGTTGGAGTGTTACGTTAAAGATTAGTTTCCAAAGAAAGTTAGGAGTATAGTCAAAAATAAAGACGAGACTTTAGCTGAAGTTGACGAACAGTTGGATAGAAGTGCCCAACTATTTTATCCAAATGTTGAATGTGAAATAAAGATTTCAATGGCACATGGCTAATTCATAGATGTGTACATCTTTAAAGGAAGATGGGTTTAAAATAAGACCCAAAACTCGAGC